AGGAGGCTACAATCGGCATTCGGGGAGAAGCGCGGTTGCTCGGACGCGAGTGCAAACGCTCGGGAGCGGTTCTCGCTATTGCCGCTTTCAAACCGGGAGAGTGAAGTCGTGCCATTCCTATTGCAGGACCGTGCCAATTCTGCCTGCCGCGATCCTCTCGTCGGGGTTAGTACGTCCGCACTTCAGGAAAGATCCCTGGAGTCTTTTTTCGAATGCGCGCCGAAATAGCACAGCATCTGTCGCTGCTCGTATTTTCCCTGGTCCTCTTCTGAGAGGCTTATACCTTCGACTCTTGTCGTCACATAATGCAGACGCACAGACACGGAGAAGGCAACTACCACGGATTGTCGCTGGACCGATAGGCGTGGACGTAATCTGCATGCCTGGCGTCGAGAACTGTGCTTAATATTAAACGAAGCGTATTCCAATCCGCTCCTTTCCTACGTGCACAGAAGAGCCCGCTACTTGTAGAAAAGCAGCCGGCGGCAGTCGCCCTTTCCCGACGACCGAGAAAAAAGGAGACCGCTGCTGGAAACGTATTCCAATCCACCCGATTCTATGTGTATGTCTAACGAATAGTGGCCTCTCTTTCGAATAGCGAGCCATCTCTTAAAGGTGTTTTTTACTCCGCAGAGCAGGCTGCACTGCTCCCGACTTTTATGAATATCTCCCGAAGAACACATCTCTCTCACCCGTAATGCCCTTTCCCTCTTGACACATTGTTATCCCTTCGACTCTTATCCTCACAGATTGCAGATTTGAAGCCAGCGATAAACTTCCTTCTACGAAATGTCTCTCCATCGAAAGTCATGAAGACAACGTTCCTGCCAGGCGTCGAGCATTCTGCTTATTTTTAAAAGAATCGAAGTCCAATCCGCTCCTTTCCTACATGCACAGAAGAGCCCGCTACGTGTAGAAAAGCAGCCGGCGGTAGTCGCCCTTTCCCGACGACCGAGAAAAAAGGAGACCGCTGCTGGAGGCTGCTAGCGGAATTCGGGGAGTAGCGCGATTGCTCGGACGCGAGTGCAAGCGCTCCGCAGTGGTTCTCGCTATTTCCGCTTTCGAACCGGGAGAGCGTAGTAGTGCCACTCCGACGACGAGAACTTGCGAATTCTGCCTGCCCCGATCCTGTCGACCGCCTTTTTTCCAGAACGCACTTCTGGAAGGATCCCTCGAGTCTTTTTTCGAATGCGCTCCCAAACAGCACAGCATCTGTCGCTGCTCGCATTTCCCTGGTTCTCTTCTGAGAGGCTTATGCTTTCGACTCTTGTCGTCACATAATGCAGACGTGTAGCCACGGAGAAGACAACTACCACGGATTGTCGCTGGACCGATAGGCGTGGACGCAATCTACATGCCTGGCGTCGAGCACTGTGCGTAATATTAAACGAAGCGTATTGCAATCCGCTCCCTTGCTACGTGCACAGAAGAGCCCGCTACGTGTAGAAAAGCAGCCGGCGGCAGTCGCCCTTTCCCGGCGACAGAGAAAAAACGAGACCGCTGCTGCAGGCTACAATCGGCATTCGGGGAGAAGCGCTATTGCTCGGACGCGAGTGCAAGCGCTCCGGAGCGGTTCTCGCTATTGCCGCTTTCGAACCTGGAGAGCGTAATAGTGCCATTCCGACGACGAGAACTTGAGAATTCTGCTTGCTTTCTCCGGACCGGCCTAAAAGGCGTTTATTTTCTCCTTAGAGCAGATTGCAGCGCTCCCGAGTATTTCGAATGCGCTCTCAAAGAGCACAACATCTGTCGCTCCCCGTTATGCCCGATTCTTTACAGATGGTAATACCTTCGACTCTTAACGTCCCAGATTGCAGACATGAAGCCAGCGATAAACTCACTACCACGAAATGTCTCTCGGTCGAAAGTCATGGAGACAACCTTCATGCCAGGCGCCGAGCATTCTGCTTATTTTTAAAAGAATCGAATTCCAATCCGCTCCTTTCCTACGAGCACAGAAGTGTCCGCTACTTGTAGAAAAGCAGCCGGCGGTAGTCGCCCTTTCCCGACGACCGAGAAAAAACGAGACCGCTGCTGGAGGCTGCTAGCGGAATTCGGGGAGTAGCGCGATTGCTCGGACGCGAGTGCAAGCGCTCCGCAGTGGTTCTCGCTATTGCCGCTTTCGAACCGGGAGAGAGAAGTCGTGCCATTCCTATTGCAGGACCGTGCCAATTCTGCCTGCCGCAATCCTCTCGTCGGGGTTAGTACGTCCGCACTTCAGGAAAGATCCCTGGAGTCTTTTTTCGAATGCGCGCCGAAATAGCACAGCATCTGTCGCTGCTCGTATTTTCCCTGGTCCTCTTCTGAGAGGCTTATACCTTCGACTCTTGTCGTCACATAATGCAGACGCACAGACACGGAGAAGGCAACTACCACGGATTGTCGCTGGACCGATAGGCGTGGATGTAATCTGCATGCCTGGCGTCGAGAACTGTGCTTAATATTAAACGAAGCGTATTCCAATCCGCTCCGTTGCTACGTGCACAGAAGAGCCCTCTACTTGCAGAAAAGCAGGCGGCGGCAGTCGCCCTTTCCCGACGACCGAGAAAAAAGGAGACAGCTGTGGAGGCTGCAAGCGGCATCCGGGAGAAGCACGATTGCTCGGACGCGAATGCAAAGACTCCGGAGCGGTTCTCGCTATTGCCGCTTTCGAACCTGGAGAGCGTAGTAGTGCCATTCCGACGACGAGAACTTGCGAATTCTGCTTGCTTCATCGTACCTGCCTAAAGCTGTTTTTTTCACCGCAGAGCAGATTACAGCGCTCCCACTTTTTCGAATGTGCTCCCATAGAGCACAACATCTATCGCTCCCCGTTATGCCCCTTCCCTCTTTACAGATTGTTATCCCTTCGGCGCTTATCGTCACCGTTTGCAGGCTTGAAGCCAGGGGATAAAGTCACTTCTCCGAAATGCCTCTCGATCGTAAGTCATGAAGACAACCTTCATGCCAGGCGCCGAGCATTCTGCTTATTTTTAAACGAATCCAATTCCAATCCGCTCCTTTCCTACAAGCACAGAAGAGCCCGCTACTTGTAGAAAAGCAGCCGGCGGCAGTCGCCCTTTCCCGACGACCGAGAAAAAAGGAGACCGCTGCAGGAGGCTACAATCGGCATTCGGGGAGAAGCGTGGTTGCTCGGACGCGAGTGCAAACGCTCCGGAGCGGTTCTCGCTATTGCCGCTTTCGAACCGGGAGAGTGAAGTCGTGCCATTCCTATTGCAGGACCGTGCCAATTCTGCCTGCCGCAATCCTCTCGTCGGGGTTAGTACGTCCGCACTTCAGGAAAGATCCCTGGAGTCTTTTTTCGAATGCGCGCCGAAATAGCACAGCATCTGTCGCTGCTCGTATTTTCCCTGGTCCTCTTCTGAGAGGCTTATACCTTCGACTCTTGTCGTCACATAATGCAGACGCTTAGCCGCGGAGAAGGCAACTACCACGGATTGTCGCTGGACCGATAGGCGTGGACGTAATCTGCATGCCTGGCGTCGAGAACTGTGCTTAATATTAAACGAAGCGTATTCCAATCCGCTCCGTTGCTACGTGCACAGAAGAGCCCTCTACTTGCAGAAAAGCAGGCGGCGGCAGTCGCCCTTTCCCGACGACCGAGAAAAAAGGAGACAGCTGTGGAGGCTGCAAGCGGCATCCGGGAGAAGCACGATTGCTCGGACGAGAATGCAAAGACTCCGGAGCGGTTCTCGCTATTGCCGCTTTCGAACCTGGAGAGCTTAGTAGTGCCATTCCGACGACGAGAACTTGCGAATTCTGCTTGCTTCATCGTACCTGCCTAAAGCTGTTTTTTTCACCGCAGAGCAGATTACAGCGCTCCCTACTTTTTCGAATGTGCTCCCATAGAGCACAACATCTATCGCTCCCCGTTATGCCCCTTCCCTCTTTACAGATTGTTATCCCTTCGACTCTTATCGTCACAGATTGCAGATTTGAAGCCAGGGGATAAAGTCACTTCTCCGAAATGCCTCTCGATCGTAAGTCATGAAGACAACCTTCATGCCAGGCGCCGAGCATTCTGCTTATTTTTAAACGAATCCAATTCAAATCCGCTCCTTTCCTACGTGCACAGAAGAGCCCGCTACTTGTAGAAAAGCAGCCGGCGGCAGTCGCCCTTTCCCGACGACCGAGAAAAAAGGAGACCGCTGCTGGAAACGTATTCCAATCCACCCGATTCTATGTGTATGTCTAACGAATAGTGGCCTCTCTTTCGAATAGCGAGCCATCTCTTAAAGGTGTTTTTTACTCCGCAGAGCAGGCTGCACTGCTCCCGACTTTTATGAATATCTCCCGAAGAACACATCTCTCTCACCCGTAATGCCCTTTCCCTCTTGACACATTGTTATCCCTTCGACTCTTATCCTCACAGATTGCAGATTTGAAGCC